ATGTCTGGTGCCCAGGGAAACCAGAAGAGGGTGTTGGATCCCCTACAACTGGAGTTACTGCTGCCATGTGGTGCTGAGAATCAAACCCAGGTCCTCCAAAATTATAGCAAGTGCTTTTCATCCCTGAGCCATCTTCCCATCCTCTCCTCTGTAAATCAGTCATTTGATTTAGTTACTTTAAGACAGGCTCTCATGTGTCCGAGGTGGGCCTCAAACTCAGATGTAGGTGAACCTTGAACTCCTTCCCCTCTTGTCTCTACTTGTCCAGTGTTGAGATGGCAGGTGCAAGCCTCTATGTCTGGCTGTCCTCAGTGCCGGGGATTAGACTCAGAGCCTCTTACATGCTTGGCGGGCTCTCTAACACCCAACAGAGCTCTACCGAATGAGCAAATGCCTGGTAGTTACTGGGAGCCTTCTTGTTTATTCTTTCAGAGTACGTCTGTAATTTTCTATTTCCATCTTTGTGCTTCTGATGAGTAACTTCACAGAGAACTATTTTCTTCTCTGATGCTTGTGAAGTATTAGGTAAAAGATACGGGTTCAGCTTGGTTCTAAAATACAAATACTTAACTAAAGTCATGACCAGAGCTAGCAAAGACCCAGGATCATGCACTTGACTTAGGATGAGTGACATTTTCCAGGGCAGGTGATTGGAATGACTAGAATTTTCCAGAACAAGTTCAGAGTCAACAGGCAAAATAGCAGAGCCTCTACTGCAGTCCCTTTGGAAAAATAACTGGCTGCCCATACCTCAAGGACTTTTCAGCATAATTGAACTTATTTTTAGTTCAACTTTATTTTTAATTTGAGAAATTTAACCTGTTACAACAAATCAGATATATTGTCCTGGCAGCATGCGGTGTGGTTTTTCAGAACATTAGTCCTCAGGATAATAGAGCTTGACTGTTTAACTTAAAAACAGAACGTTTAGAGATTGGCGAGGAAAAGCCTGGCTTGCCTGGCTCCGCTGAGCACTCAGAGGACCCTGTGGGTCTCCATTTTCCCACCCTCTCACCTGCTTCCTCCTGCCCCGCACCGAGGCTGTGCAGGCAAGAAGCCTCCGTGAAGCAGCCTTCACTCTCAGTATCTCCCAGCCCGTGATTCAGCGACCTCTTACCAACTGTCCCCTAGGAGCCTGATGCTTTTCAGCATTGGTTTTAATAGTAGCTGGGTGCACTCAAGTCTGAAATACATACTTTTTATTATAGGCAATTTTAAGAAGGAGAGTCAATAGATAAGGTGTGTGGATATGTGTATGTGTGTTTATAGGTGTGTGTTTGTGTGTGAGAATATATGTGTGTACATAAGTATGCATGTGTGTATGTATGGGTATGTATGTGTGTATATGTATATGTGTGTATGCATGTATGTAGGTATTTGTATATGGGCGTGTTTGTGTGTATATATGTGTGTGTTTGTGTGTGTCTGTCTGTATATGTGTGTTTGTATAGGTGTATATATATATATATGTATGTATATATGTGTGTATGTATGTATGTGTGGATGAATATGTGTGGATGTGTGTGGATGTGGGTGTGTCCTCGGCACTGCCCACTTATTTTGCCCCCAGAGTGCCGGATAGTGGCATAGTTACCGGTCCTCTGTCCCCTTAGGCAGGAGTAGGTGCCCTGGCTCTGGGCTCAGGACATCTGCCAAACATTTATCCACCATCTCCAACTGCCTATTCTTCCCAGAAACCTTGGCACTGGCAAAGGGCGGTCAGGAAGTGGCTGAGGCGTGTGTCCAGTTGGGACAACTTGGAAACAGCCTGGTTGAGACTGAGTCAGCCCTCTCTCTGGGGGAAGGGGCCAGACACTGCATGAGTCAGCGCTGCCATGGATGGAGGGTGCTGGCTGCGACGGCAGGAAGTGCTGGGCCCTGGGGCTGTTCCTGCAGCTCTGTTCAGCCGACCAGCACACAGGCTTCACCCTGGACACACTTAACATTCCCCAGGCACAAGCTGTGTCCTCTGACCCTTTAACAAAAGCACCACCCTCTTTCACTTCTGTTCTGTTCTGTTCTTTGATGCGCGATCTTGCTATGTAGTGCTGTTTGGCTCAGGCTCACCTTGAACTTGGGACAGTCCTTTTACTGCAACCTCCAGTATCTGTCACTGTCTGTCCCAGGATCAACAGGACCTTTTTACGGTGATTATGAGTCATGAGCTCACGGGCTCTGAGAAAGATTTTGGCTCCATTTACTCTCACTTAGTTTCTGCCTCCTTCAGCCTCCTAAGAAACTAAGAATTTTAAGCCAAGAGCTATGCTAGTTATGCACAAACAAGTCACTCAGATTCAGTCCCTGAGGCCATGCCCTAGAACTTGACAGTCTCCAGAGAGGTGACAGTCTGAATCTGTCTCCATCGTCAGTACTTTGTTAGCTAATGACTCTCATCCCCTCCCTCTTCTTTTTCTTTTCTTTTTTTTTTTTTTTTGCCGGGAATCAGAAAAAGAGGGGGTTTTGTTATTGTTTGCTTTATTTTGTACTTTAAAGCATCTCTTAAAAAATTCAGTCCTTGTCAACTTCAGTGTGTAAAAAAATGACATGTAGCCAAGAAGGGTAATGCCCACTTTTGATCCCTGCACTAGGGAGGCTGAGGCAGGAGGATTCCCATGTGAGGCAAGTCTGGTTTACATGATAAGACGAACTTAAAGTGCAAGGAAGGAGGTAGGGTTATGGAAACATGTTTAAGTGAGGGGTCTAAGCATTACATCTAGAGGTTCAGGTTTGTAGGACAAAAACGTTAAATGAACAACCCAGGTCAGTCAAGATGCAGAGGTGTGGGGGTCTGCGGACCACTGTTGCAGACACACTATAGCTGAAGATGCACCACTTCAGATGCTTAGCAGTGAGTGAACGAGTCTTTTTAGACTCCCTTGGAATGGTAGGGAGACAAGCAAAATCCAACATTCCAGATCCGTGAGAAAGGGGAAAAGCCTGGCTGCAGGCATGCAGCAGGCATTTGCGCAAGCGTGTTATAAATAACACACTCAAAGAAGACAAAAATCATGCCATTCTCCTGCCTACCCCCTTTACTCCCTTGCCCGCAGACCTTGGAGCTCAGGCCTGACCGGAAGCTCCAAAGTCCTCTCTATCACTGGCTGGTGTGGCTTCTCTGGCGGTGCTTTTAATATAGAGCTGACACTAAGAAGATGCAATTTGCTTTGAGAATGGGGCTGGCCGGAGCGCTTCCTTGCCAGATGTGTCAAGACTGGAGAAGTAGCACCTTCGTTCACGCAAATGAACTTTAGCTTTTATCCTCCATTTGGGTGGCCCAAACGTCCCTTGTTTTTCTGCCTTTCTTCAAAGGCGGTCATTCTCAGTATCATTATTCTGTATACTGTAGGGGAAGAAGGTGAAGTTGCTGAGAAGTGTTTCAGGTCATTCTGAAGCTATTCTACTTTTGCATTTGGAGGCCAGCATGCAGTTAACTTGGTTTTGGTTCCTGGAGTTCTACACAATACCGCTGTGTGTTTGCCAGGCTACTCAACCTTCTACCTGGAACCCCCACTAATTCCTTGTACCCCACAAGTTTTTCACATACACCTTTGCTTGAACTCACCATCCCAACTCTCTCAATCTCACGGCGAAAATAGATCAAGAAGATCTGGGATGTCGTGGGCACCAGGAGTCTTTGGAATTGACCAGATTGCTGTGCTACACTGTTCTAGATGATTCCTTTATAGCAGCAAGAAATCACATAGCACTTGCCCAATGTTAACTTACTTAGTTCTTCTCATAGTGAACCTACTAGGTATACAACATATAGGTGCCAGCATAAGCCCATTTTATAGAGGTGGAAAATGAGGCACAGAAAGGCTAAGTGCCTAAACAGTGTCATGTGACTAGTGAGTGATGGAGTAAGAATTCCAACCCTTGTGCTATGTTTAGAAATTATTTATCTGTGTCACCCATCAAAACACACACACACACACAACAAAAGAAGAAGAAAGCTAGCAAATTAAAAACCAAAATCCAACCAACCAAACAACCAAAAAAAATACCCCAATATTCTTCTTGGAGGGAAAAGGAAACTGAAGATTACAACTTGATTTCATTATATTGCAGCCTAAATGAAAAAAGAATTCTCCAAGTTCTCAAATCATCAATATGGGCCAAGAATGATCTTACTTCATCCTCACTCCACTGAAGGCTGGTTTAACGGCTTCTTTGCTAAATATTTACATAATATCCTTTACACACGACTCATTTTCAGCACGCTCGGCCCAGGGACCTGGGCAGAATAGCTATGTGCACCATCTTATGAAGCACAGGAGAGACACCGGGTCCACCCTGACAAAGCCTTTCGCTATCACATCTGGGGTGGAGGGCTTCGTTCAGTTTACCTGGATGGAAACTGACAAGCAAGCAGGCTCCTTCCAGAACTGACTTCAAGACACATGTTATCATAGTGTTTCTGAGCTTGAATTTTAATCCTCTTCCTTTCACTAGACAGCTATGTGATTCCGGACAGCCTGCAATCTCTTAAAATCCACCCTCTACCGTTGTCAGGATGTCTTGAGACCTAAATGAAATAGCTATATACTAGGCATGGTGGCTCACATCTGTAATCTCACCACCAGGGAGGCTGAGGCAGGAGGACTGCAGTTAGTTCAAGGCCAGCCTGGGCTACATATCGATAATGTATCTCAAAAAAAACAAACAAACAACAAAATCCAAAACAAAGAAACAAAATAAAAACAATCGCCATGAAGTCCTGAAAAGCTGTAAGGTAATGCGTTTGAAAGGTCGCTTTAATGACCGATCATCACTGTACTCTCAAGACATCTTGACTTTCAGCTACTTCTCTGCCTCCCTAGTAAACTTCTCGAGGGATGGAATCCTATCTCCCTCATCTTTTCCCCTTTAAGCATAGTTCTGGCACACAGGAGGCAACCCCTTAAAGCACGTCTTGAACGAATACACTTGGGTACTTTCAGAATAACTTTTGGTGGCTCCTATCCGGACAAGAGCCCTCGCGAAGAGAGCGGACACAGTACCTGCTTCGACCACGTGGTCCATGGTCGGGAACCTTTTGTACACGGCTGTGCTCACCGAGCGGAAGATGAGGAGGGACGTGAGGTTGACGTAGCGCATCAGCGTCCTTCTGAGCAGGCGCCCGTGCTGGTCGCTCCCGTGAACGCTGCTGGAGATGAGGAACATGAGCCTGTCCGGCCAAGGCAGATTCACGAACTGATTCCACCACCGGTTCACCACCAGAGTGACATAAAACCCTGTGGGTGTAACCACACGTCACCATGCGGTTTCTTACAGCAGGCGTCTCCACGGACACACTTTTAGCAGGATTTTAGCCTTCTTGGGGGTTTGGGATATGAAAGTATGTTACCATTCATACCTTGGGATTTTTTTTTTTTGCCCCCCAAGAGGGAAGGGAGTGTCATATGTGCCTGGCAAGGTCAGGACACCCAGTAAGTGGGTATTAGAACTCAAATATTGACTGCAAAAATGGAGAGTTAGTGAAGAAAAAGCTCAATCGTCCAACAGCGGATTATGACCTCAAACTGTCCCATGTTAACTCAGCAGAAGCAGCCCTGGAAGGCAAACTTGAGGGATGCGGCTGTGCGCCATCGCAAGCAGCGGGTTTCCCGGCATGCCTCACAGCCCGGAAGCACTCTCATGCAGTCATCTGTGTCATCTAACGGAGACAGCTGTGCGGCTGCATTCTGCGTGTGACCTATACTTACCAAGCACAAAGGTTACTGGAATTTGTTCAGCATATCTGTCACAGTAAATTGATAATTTTTCAAAGTAACGTTTTTGGGCTCCTGTAAGTAACAATCTGGAGCAAAAATAAAACGCACAGCCCTTTATGATGTGGTACTGCTGTACCTGCTCTGCAGGCGGCATCAAGTGCAAACAGCTAAGCACAAAGAATCTCAGGTGGGGTTTGGTTTGGTTTTAAGGAGCTCTGTTTTGTTTGTTTATTTCTCTTTAAGCTGATGTGCCTCCAGAGTTTAAAAAATTTGCCTCGTGCTTCAAGCATTAAAGTTTTTAGCACATAAATCTGTCGGCCGTTCAATAACGGATTTGTTAACCACTTTGCTTCTTAAAGCTTTATATCTTTAAAGTTTTATATAACTGGTTCATTGGATTTTGGAGAAAGATATGTTACAAAAGTTATTCTGAAAATACCCAAGTGTATTCGTTCAAGACGTGCTTTAAGGGGTTGCCTCCTGTGTGCCTTTTTTTTTTCCTTTTCTTTCTCAGGTCTGATAATTAAAGCTAGGGCCAGGCAGACAATCACTGAATTCCATCCCCAGCCCGCTCTTTCCCTTCTGATGTTTGAGACAGTGTCTCACTAAGTTGCCCAGGTTGGCCTGGCCTCATTCTGTAGACCAGCGGTTCTCAACCAGTGGCCGGCAATCCCTTTGGCAAACCTTTGTCTCCGAAATTATTTATATTACGGTTCATAACAGTAGCAAAATTACAGTTATACAGTAGCAACAAAAATAATTGTATTGTTGGGGAGTCAGCACAACATGAGGAACTGTATTAAAGGCTGGAAGTGTTGGGAAGGTTGAGAACCACTGCTGTAAACCAAGCAGGTCTTAAACTTGTCATTCTCCTGCCTCAACCACACAAGCAGCTGAGGTTATTGGCCTGGACTACCAGGCCTGGTTTCCGATTTTAAATTATTCATTAGGAATACTTAAAAAGAGAGAGAGAGTATTGATTTGGTGTGTCAGAGTATTTAAGTCATTATTCAGTGACAACATTTAGCATTTAATGCTGTGCTCATTAATTTAATTAAGTTAATTAACACATTCTAGATTGTGTGTATTACATGTCAGGTGATATTGTAATTGTTTACTTTAACACTCACAATTACTGGGAATATAAATCAAGCCGATTTAATTTTAAAGGTGGAAACTTTCACTGTTGCATTTGGCTGCAGTCTCAAACTTCTCTGGTAGGTCTGACTTAACCTCCCCAAGCTTACTTTCTGGGATTGCTAAACACACCTGACCATAATTAGACCATTATGATGCTTTAGAGAGGGAATTCAGAGCCAAAATAAATCTAAAAGCGGGTTAATAATAATTACCAAAATGTGGAAAGAGAAGCCATATGAGAATTTGCACAGATCAATAGAGCAGTTCATCTAAAGAATGAAGAAGTCTACGGAGAGGTCTATCAGAACAAATGTCAGAAGTTCCCCTGCGTGAGTGGAATGTTGATAAAGAAGCAGAGGAGTAGTGAGGGGACAGTGTCCAACCAATGGGGCTGCAGGTGGAGTATTTTCAGGAGCTGGTAGTGGTGAAGAAACAATTTGGGGAACAGGGGTATGTGAAGTTTCTGTGTCAGCTTTGGATGAGGCGACAGAGTTCATGGAGTCAGGGAGAGGCACTGGCTGGACTCACAGGCCTGTGAGGGTCATGTTGGTAACAAGTCTCGGACAGAGTAGCCTTCCGGTACATATGTAGAGGTGGTCAAAGGGTCTTTAAATGGAAAGTGTGGCTCTTAGGATCAGTTAGGCCAAGCCAGGGTCTACAACAGGTCAGCCATAGATTTAGGCTGGCTGTATTGTCAAATCTCTAGGAGTCTCGGTTTTTTTTTTTTCTTCAGTTTATGGCATTGTAAAGATAAAAAATATCAAATACATAAATATTGTTAAGCACATGTCTTCAAACATAGTACCAAAATGGGTTATATTAATACTAACTGGCCAAAGAAATATGACTAATAGACACAGAAATCTTAGCTAGAAAATACCACAGAGATTATTTTTATCAAATTCCTCCAAATTGGAAGAGATAAGATCAAAGTCAATATTAGGCAAAATAAGAACTATGGTCATATTTCCCAAAGGTCTGCTTTACTTTCTTGACTGAGTAATCCAACAATTCTTGGTAAATCTTCAAGCTAAAACAGATCTACTTTTGTAAAAATTTAGAAAATTAGACTTCTTTTTTTTTAAAAGGAAAAACCAAGTGTTATAAATGTATGCAGTCTTTAATCTTTGGAAAGATGAAAATCTGTGTAACATTTTGGGGTATAGGTTTGATATTGGAACAAAGGTTGAGATCCCAGGGAGAGTTTCTGACAATACAGCAACTGTGCTCAGGGCTTTTCTATTCTAAGCAACAGCAAACTCACATTCGTAAAAATGAACTAATGAGACAGTTATCCTGGAACACCACTAATCTGCCTTCATTTTGTGTTCTGAAGGCTCGAGCGTCATATAATTAAGCTGTTGAGGAAATATATAAGGTATCTGAAACATATTAGAAGTCTCTAAGGACGTTTGACAAAATCTGCTCTTGTAATTTTTGCCTTGGTGTTTTCTGTTTTGGTTATTTTGAACTGGGGACTGAACCCAGGGGTTAGTACTTTCTAGGCAAGCATTCTACTATCAAGCTAATTCCCCAGTCCTACAAAATCTATTCTAGCATGTAAAGCTAGGGCCAGGCAGACAATTTGGGATTCTTGTATTTTGGTTTTGAGACTGGGTTTTTTAATAGCCCAAGTAACAAAAGGTGGATCCTTCTGCCTCTGCTTCCTCCATATGAGGATTACAGGTGTGTGCCATCAGGCCTTTTTTGTGAGGAGGGAAGGAGTACTGGGGATTGAATTCAGGGCTTTGTGCTTGCTAGGCAGGCACTATCAACTGAGCTAAATCCTCAGCCTTAGGCTGGAAGTTTTGATGGGTAACAAAATAGTTGTTCAGGGTTTGCTTTTGGTAACGATCAGACAACAGAATGAATATCCCTCCTCTCCAAGTGTAGTCTCATAGCTGCAAAGAATGATGTGGGTAAGACGGTAATTCACAATTTGTTTGCCTGTGGTAGAAGAAAACTTTTATACCCAGCTAAGGTGAAAATACACCCTCAGAAATCTTAAATCCGCCTTTAAGCCTCCTCCAGTATGATTCAGTTTTAGTTTAATGACTACTAAGCTTCTTTTTTTATCACACTGATGAACTTTTATTAAGACTATAATTTTTAGTTGTGAGAGGTGGATATGCTAGCCCTCAAAGTTTCTATCAACCCAACTGGCACACATCTCTATGCTATAAAGAATATATACCTCCTTTTGCAAACGTGACATCCTGAAATGAGAAGACATAAAGAGAGCAAATTATTCTTCAGGCCTTAATTCTTTGGTTGAAACACTGGTAAAGGTGGAGGACCCCATACCGTGTCAGAGCTTACCATCCAGACTGAGGGAAAGAATGCTGCCTCGTACGTAAACTCTATTCACCCTTATGTTAACTCACTATGGGGTTGCAACAAGCTGTCAGATCACAAGTTCAGACTCTGAATGACATCGTTCAGAGAAGCACGGAAACAGTTGTCTGTGGGCTTTGCCGTTAATCATCACACGATAAGGTGTGAGCATAACTCTCTCAATTTAAGGCTAAAGCAGCATGGCCAACACCTCGGCAGGATCGATTCCTGTGGACCTGGAATGGGAGCCCGTTGTCTCTGACAGTTGCTGTCCCTTACTCGTAATACATGGTTAGGTGTGGATTAAAATACCCTCCCAAAGAGAAGACGCCAGAGAGGTTCATGCAGAGGGGTTACGTGATGCGAAGGCCAGCGGCAACCAAGGGGATCCGATTTTTTTGAGCCTGTATTCTTACATAACGTCTGAGGGCCATTTAAGGAGACATGCAAAACGGAAGTACCTGTACATCAGACTGATAGCTGTGTAGAGAACAGCAAAAACAATAAATTCCCTGTACAGCAGCTTGTAGATGCTGCCTCTCCACTTGAGGAGCAACCTATGAAATCCAAAAAAAGTTGCATTTGCTACTTTACTGGAGTAAGTGACAGTCATCTTGGATAGGTTTGTTCTAGAAGAGCAAGAAGACAAAACATGGGTGATGTCAACAACGGCATACACTTTTTTTTAACCAAAGGAAACTAAAGCCAACAACGAATTAGGCAATTCACCCTTACCCTCATAATTTTCCCACTCCCTTCACACTTTAGAATTTGTAGATACCACCATATCATCAATTAGCACCTCAGTAGTAGGCCTGGGACAAAGAAGGGGAAGAAGGTATTCTCTGGAAAGAGTGTTTTTAGAGGCCCTGAAATATCTGTAATTGATAAGTATTATTATAGAGTCTGTAGCTATTACTCAATAAATAACCAAAATTAACCCTTGAATTAGACACATTGTAATGCCATGTAATGCCAGGAGGATTTAGAAAATTGGTTTACTAAACTGATAGGGTTTTTTGTTTGTTTGTTTGTTTAACCTTTTTTAAAAATTCGTGTACATTGGTGTTCTGCCTGCATGTATGTCTGTGTGAGGGTGTCAGATCCCCTAGAGCTGGAATTACAGACAGTTGTAAGCTGCCGAGTGGGTGCTGGGAATTGAACTCAGGTCCCTTGGAAGAGCAACCAGTGTTCTGAACCACTGATCCATCTCTCCAGCCTCTAAATTGATGTTTTTTAAAGCCAGTATTCATTGGTTGGGCCAGTGTCTGCTAAAATTCGTATATAGGTATTGATTCCATCTTTAAACTTCCTAAGAGGTCAAAATCAGGAATCATGTCTTAGAAAGCCAGAGCTACTACTGTAAGGAAGAAGCCAGGCCCATGGGCCAGTGTAACTGATTGGTACTCTGGGTGTCCTTACTGGGCTGTGAGGTTCTCTAAGTGGCTCTTAGGATGTGCAGTTGGCATTCTGTGCCTTCCAAAAGGAGCCACAAGCCTGATGTCAAAAAGCTGCACTTGCCCTTGGAAAGTCTCAGTGAAATGCTTGGTGGCTGACTTCCTGCTCAAAGCCGAACAAAATGAGTTTGTTTGTTTGTTTTTTCTTTTCTTTTTTAAGAGAGGGCCATCCCGATTTGGCCTTGAACTTGGTATTTAGCCAAGGATGACCTTGAACTTTTGACCCACCACGTGAGTGAGTGCTGGAATTGTAGAACCATGCCACCTTGCCTAGTTTGCTCGGCGCTGAGTCCGGTGCATGCTAGGCGAGCACCCTACCAGCTGAGTGGTAGGCACCCCAGTGACTCCGTGTTCCGGATCTGCCCCGTACCTGTGGGCAGGATGAGAATGGAGCCTGAAGCCTGGTTTTCCCTGAGCCCTGTGGTGTGCCTTCTCTTCTCACTATCTGACTTGGAGACAGATAGCTCAAAGCTGACCTTTTGTTTGCAGATCTTGCTCAGCTACTGGCTAGCATAGGTCACGTGCAAACAAAATGAGATTTCTTTAAAGTATTAACTTTCCTCCGAAGGAACTATGAGGAGCTTCTCACAGAGCAACGCAGACTGAAAACAAGCAGTTTTTAGGTCAAATTATAATACACACACACTCACAAAAGCTCAAGGGGATATTCTTCCTACAGGGCAGTCTGCATCATACACTCTACCACAAGCAAGAAAATGATTCATTCAGACAGGCAAGCATCCAACTGCAATTTGTCCATTTTCTCTACAGAAGTAGGAGTTGGCAGCTGTATTCATGGCAACCAAAAAAAAAAAAAAAAAAAAAAAAAAAACCAACCCACACTGATTTATCCTCCAACATTATTGATTTTAATTAAGAACAAAAACAAACAAACAAACAAAAAAACAGGCCAGGGCCTTTTGCCTACGGAAGTGAGTGACGTTACAGACCGGAGGGAAGCCTGCCACACAGGCTTCACTTTTCCATCCCTGCCTTGCCTCTTTCCCTGAGGAGAGCACACTGGGCACGGGGGAGGAGCGCAGCACATGAAGCCGAGGTTGTCCAGGCAGGCCACCTGAAGTACCAGTCTCCCACCAACCTCCCTTGCTCCCATTTACCCCTTCACCCTCTGTTTAGGCTCCGTCAGAAACCCTAGCCCACCGAGCACCAAGGTCATGTTCAAGAGCATAAATTGTCAAGCGCACTAACCTGTTTCTTTGGCGTCTCCCACGGGGAGACGAATCTTCAAATGTCCGGCTGTCCCTGAAGACTTGCCTTCAGATCGGTGCTCCGGGTTCCCCCCTTTACTTGCAGCCAGTCAGGTTTCCTCCGGTGCTCCGGCTGCCCCGAGGATCCAGCGTGTAGTGAGTCCAGGGTTAAATGTTTTCCACTCGCAGAGGCCTGTTTGTGCCAGTTTGCCCACTGATGACAGTTATAGCTGGGAACAAACAGAAGTGACAGCTGCTGATGTTGCTTTTTTCTAATCTATAATTATAACTCCACCTGCCGTCCAAAGTACCCCTTTGAAGGAGAAGTCGGTAGTGACATGAGGATGTCGGGCCGTTTAAGTCCTGTTTAGATTCATTTCAACTCTGGCCTGGGATTAAGGAAGAAAGGCCCTTTTCTACGGAAAAGTTCTGGACATACTTCAGCGGCCGGAGAGGGGATTAGGGCAGTCTTTTGTGTATGAAATGAAGAATAAATTAAAATAGAGCCAGACACGGGGGCAGACAGGAATATAAACAAAAGTTCTGAGAGGAATTGAGAATGTTCTTCCATTAAAAGCAACAAGTGTGTGTGTGTGTGTGTGTGTGTGTGTGTGTTATACGTGGGTGTGCCTGCATGCATGCATGCATGAATGTGCGTGTGCATATGTGTGTTGTGTATGTGGTATACGTGTATCTTACATGTGTGGTGTGTGTTTTAGAAGTGCATAGAGAATCATGATGTGGTGTGGTAGAAAACCAGCACCCTGATTTATTATGTTTTCCCCACGACCAGCCAGGAAAACTTCAAATGGTTTATGATGGTTTGTTTCAGATGTATAGTGCTACCTACTTTCTTTCGTAAGGAGAACGCACATCTGAGTTCTCTAGGGCATGGAGCAGTCTCAGGGCCATGTCTAAGTAATTTTTGCACCAGTCATTGCACTACAAGCTTAATGAGAATAACACAAAAAGTTGTGTTTATGTAGAGAAACATGTGGAATAACATATCTGAAAAATCAAGACCAGGCTATGCCTGGTGGGTCATGCCTATAATTGTACCACTTAGAAAGTTGAAGCAGGAGGTTTGCCATGAGTTCAAGAATGGCCTGGGCAATTATGTAAGTTCCACAACAGTCTCAGCTAATAAATGAGATGCTGTCTCAAAACGAAAAGCAAACGGAAACCCCCTAAGAATATATAAAATAAAAAGGAATACATATAATTAAAAATTGTAAAGAATGATTAAATTGAATGTGTATTTAACTGACTTTGTAAAACTGTAGGTGCTCAGAGTCCTAGCAGAGTTATGTTTCTTTTAAGTTTTTTTTTTTTTTTTTGGTCCTTATTCTTGGTCCTGACTTCAGGTTGGGGCCCTGTAAATAATGAATATTCATCTAATAATTCTGTGCTAATTGATTGCATGGGACTCCAGTAACGGATATTGGATATTATTATGGTCTGGTACTCGCTTTTTTTTTCTTCAGTATTTCACAGCTGTGAGTACCGTGGGGGATTCGTGAACATACAGAATGCATACAAACAGTATTTCACACCCTTTAGCTGAGTTGTCATGAAAAGTGGTTGGGTAGACCTGCAATTGCATTTATAAAGGTTTTTAGAACTGGGGAATGTTAGGGAGTTTGAGTTTATCTAAACCGTCGTGTATACAAAAGAGAAACATTGCAGGTTCTATATCTGCCCCCTGCACCTCCGACTCGATGTGTGGTGGCCCCCAAACTCAGCATATTGTGCATCAGTCCTAACCGAGAACCAGGAGACCAGCATCCTTTGCGGGTCAGTAGAAGCATCATTGATTGGGCTCACTTCTAAACCTAGGTAAATACCATCACGTCACCATCAGGTTATTGTTTTTCTGTTACAAAACATTGAGAGAAGATGTGGCAGACAATCCCGACATAACCAAGTCATGAGCTACAGAAGGACAGATACAACTAAGCTCAAAGCTTAAAACAAAAGAGCATAAACAAAGCTTTGAAGCTTACAAACTCAAATGGATTATTTTATCCGGTCCATCCGTTTTCTTCTGAGACAGAGACTCTCAGTGGCCTAGAACACTCCCAGTGGACCAGGCTGGCCACCCACTGAGCCCCGGGGATCCACCTGTCTCCACCTCGATAGCACTGGGATTACAACACAAGACAACATGCCCAGCATTTCTCACGCGGATGCTTGGGATTAAACTCGGTGCTTCCAAGGCAAGCACTTTACACATTGGACAGGGAACTCATACCAAGCCAAAGACTATGGGATATTTGAGCAGTCATCAGTACTTTCCGTGCTGAGACTAATTGCCGACTCAACAAAACAGAAATGCATTAGTTCAGATTCTGAAGGTGATCTTTTATGAAATGGACGCTATGGGAACTTTGTTCTATTTTAGAAATGAAAGCTCTGAGTCTAGAGAATTATGACTCCGGTGCTGAAAACATATCCTGCACTCAATAATCAATGACATTTCTTAAGCAGATGATACCGCTCTGCTCAAAAACATTCCAGATTGCTAGAGGAAAAAAAAAATTACCGAATAAAATCAATTACAAATCAGTTCAACCTCACACACACACACAAACCCCCACGTAAATCCAAATCTATTGCTTATTGTGAGCAGCTATGATTCTGTTACCTGACAACCAGTGTCTGTAAATCCTATTATTGTGTTTGTGATAAGGGGGTAAGCCAGGTGTGGTGGCACACACTTAGTTCAAGCACTTGGGAGCTGGAGACCTGAGGATCAAAGGTCCAGACCCTGTTGTCTCAATCACATAGTGAGTCCAAAGCTAATCTGGGCTAAATGTGACCCTGTTTAAAAAAAAAAAAAAAGTTATAGGGTGGAAGACAGGGAGAAATTAAAAGCATCCATTGCTTCTGGTTTCCTAATTTGGTTGACTGAACATCCTTTTAGACATCCTTTTAGGTTTTGTAACTCG